ATTTTTTTCTTCTGTTTGTTTTGTTTCCTCTTTCTTGTGGTTCCTCCTATTGGTTCTAATTCTTCCTTACAACACGACTAATGTGAAAATATATTTAATAGGAATATATATGTAAAGCCTATATCAGTTTGCATACCATCTTGGAGAGGGAGGGGGGAAGGAGGGGGAGAAAAGTTTTAAACTCAAAAGCTTATGGAAGTGATTGTTGATAAATCAAAATAAATTAATAAAAAATATTTTAAAAAAAGAAAGTGTGATTTTAGTTGGGACTTTAAGGAAGCCAGATAATCCAAGAGGTAAAGATGAAGTGAGAGAGTATTCCAAGCACAGGAGACAGCCATAGAAAATGATCAGAGCTGAGAGATGGAGTATCTTAGCTGTGGAAGAACAAAGAGGCCAGTGTCACTAGACTGAAGAGCACATAGTGAGAAGAAAGATGTAAGAAGACCGGAAAAGTTTGGGATGGGGGTTAGGTTATGAAGAGCTTTGAATTCCAAGCAGAAGATTTTGTATTTGATACAGGAGGTGATAGGGAGCCAGGGAGTTTATTGAGTCGGGGGAGGGGTGACATGGTCAGAACTGCACTTTAGGAAAATCTCTTTGGCAATTGAAAAGAGGATGGATTGGAGTAGGGAGAGACTTGCGGGAGGCAGACCCATCAGTAGGCTATTGTAATAGTCCAAGCTTGAGGTGATGAGGGCCTACAATAGCATGTAGTACTAGAAGGTAGTATTAAAAAAAATAAGGTGGCATATTTGACAGATGTTGCAAAGATGAAATTGATAGGTCTTGGCAACAAATTGGGTATGAGGGATGAAAGACAGAGAAGAGTTGAGGATGACTCCTAGGTTTTGAGCCTGGATGACTGGGAGGATGGTATTGCCTTTGATAGTAATAGGAAAGTTAAGAGTGAGGAAAGGTTTAGGGGGAAAGATAACGACTTAATTTTTGGACATGTTGAGTGTAAGACATACTGTTCAAAATGTGTAAAAGGCAGTTAGAGATGAAAGCCTGGAGGACAACAGAGAAGTTAGAGGATAGGTGGATCTGAGCGTCATAAACATCCATAGTGTCCATGGCATCCATCTGACAAATGAAGTTGTATAGAGGGAGAAGAGGGCCCAAGACCAAGTCCTGTGGGACACCTACAATTATTGGGTGCGATTTGGCTGAAGATCTAGCAAAGGAGACTAAAAGTAGTCTGTTAAGTAGAAAGAGAACCAGGAGAAAGTGGTATACTAAAAACCTAGAGAGAAGAGAGTATCAGGGAGAAGAGGGAAATTAATCAACAGTGTCAAAGGCTACAGAAAGGTCAAAGAGATCACTGGATCTGGCCATTAAAAGATCATTGGTATATTTGAAGAGAACAGTTTTGGTGGGATGATGAGGTTGAAAGCTAGACTGCAAGGCATTAAGAGAGTGAAAGGAAAGAAAATGGAGGCAACTATTGTTGATAGTCTTCTCAAAGAGCTTAGCTACAAAAGGAAGAAGAGATATAGGATGTTAGTTATTGGGGATAGAAGTTTTTTGAGGATGGGGGAAACATAGTGTCACCCTGTATGTCTAAATCATGCACCCATTTTGACCATATGGTGTGATGATGTTGGTCTATACCTAGTTTGTCCCCTATTGTTTTCCAGTTTTCCCAGCAGTTTTTGTCAAATTGTCAAATTATCCCAATGTCTTTGGGTTTATAAAACACTAGGTTACTATGGTCCTTGACTACTGTGTCTTATGTACCTAATCTACTCCATTGATCCACCACTCTATTTCTTAGCCAGTACCAGAGATCTAGTATTACTACGCCATTTTCCCTTGTATTTTTTCCCATTAATTCCCTTGATATTCTTAACGTTTTGTTCTTCCAGATGAATTTTTTTGCTACTTTTTTAGCTCTATCAAATAATGTTTTGGTAGTTTGATTGCTATGGCACTGAATAAGTAAATTAGTTTAAGCAGAATTGTCATTTTTATTATATTGGCTTGGCCTACCCATGAGCAATTGATATTTTTCCAATTGTTTAGATCTGACTTTATTGGGGTGAAAAGTGTTTTGTAATTGTGTTCATATGGTTCCTGGGTTTGTCTTGGCAGGTATACTCCCAAGAATTTTATATTATTTACAGTTATTTTAAATGGAATTTCTCTTTCTATCTCTTGCTGCTGGGCTTTCTTGGTCATATAAAGAAATGGTATGATTTATATGCTACATAAGTCCTGCAACTCTGCTAAAGTTGTTAATTAATTCAAATAGTTTTTTTAGTAGATTCTCTAGGGTTCTCTAAGTATATCATCATATCATCTGCAAAGAGTGATAGTTTGTTTCCTCACTGCCTATTCTAATTCCTTTAATTTCTTCTTCTTCTCTTATTGCTATAGCTAACATTTATGGTACTATATTAAATAATAGTGTGATAATGGGAATCCTTGCTTTACCCTTGATCTTATTCAGAAGACTTCTAGCTTATCAGAAGTGGGGAGAAGTGTATGTTTGTAGGCAATAGGGAAGGAGCTTATAAACAAAAGATAAGTGATAAAGTGGAATGATAGAGGGGTTATTCTGTTGGAGGAGACAGGATGAAATGGCATAGTTTGTGCAGGTAGAGGATGTGATTTGTTAAGGAATAAGGCCAACCTTCTGTGTGAACGAAGGCTGATGGAGTAGATAAAGGCAGGAAGCACCTGAGTGATAGGACATGAGGAAAAGGAGAAAAAAGGGACCTTACAGAAAATGTTCTTTCTTCTGTAAAATATGAGGCAAAGTTCTTAGCTAAGAGGGGGTGAGGGTGGTGGCATCATGGGAGGTTTAAAGAGATAAAACAAAAGTTTGGAAAAGCTTCTGTGCAGAGTAAGGTAATGAGTTGATAAGGGAGATTTAGAAGGATTGCCGTGCAGCAGTGAGGGCCCAGTTGAGATTGTATAACATAAATTTGTAATGGACCTACTCAGAACAATTGCTTGATTTCACTCAGCAGCATATGTGTAGGACTGAAGCAGATAGTGGGAGTCATCCAAGGCTGAGGCTTGGCAGGGCACAATCAGTAATATAATAAGAGGACCAGGGACTCAGGAGAAGAGGACAGAGTAAAGTTGAACTATTTCACCAAGGGGTCAAGATAGGGAAAGGAGGGAGTGAAGGGGTCATGGCCTGGGAGAGAACTGAGAGGTTAAAGAATTGGAGGTCATGGTATGGTAAGAGAATGCAGAGGGAGAGGTGGAAAGGCAACAGATTATGGCCAGATAAGGGAATTTCTGAATTCTTGAACATAGAGGTGGTGTAGTTCTGGGTGATGGCAAGATCAAGGTTATGACCATCATAGTATGTGACTGACGTATGGTGGAGAAGTATGTTATGAGAAATGAGTAGGTTAAGGAACTAAATGGTTAGTGTATATGAGGGAGAGTCAATATGTATGTTGAAGTCTCCTAGTATGAAGGCAGAAGTTGGGGAGAAGAGAAAAATTGTGAACCAGGTACTGAACTTGTTGAGGAAGGAAGTGGAATGACCTGGAGGTCACAGCTATCCGAATTTTGATTGGCTAGAAGATGTGGATTGTATAGATCTCAAAGGAAGAAAGGTTACTGAGTAAGGGAGGTAGGGAGAGAACCTGGATGTAGCAGTGGGGAGCAAGGAGTATTCCAACTCTCCTGTCTCAACCAGTGAACTAAGAAGAGTGAATGAAGGTGCATTCAATATTAGAAAAAGTGGCCTGGGAGGCTGTGTCATCTGGAATGGGGTTGGAGGAGGGCAGGAGGACTTAGTGATTGCTAGAAGATGGAAAGAGTAGGAGGGGAAAAGATGTAGGATAAAGGCAAGTTTGTTGTCTATGGAACAAGCATTCCAGAGGGTGAAGTAGAAGGGGTGGGTAATGTTTGGTTGAGACTTTAAGGTAGGAGGGTTGAGTGGGATGAGAGTATAGAATCAGGTGATGGAGGATGGGGGATGGGGATGCAAATGATGGCCTACGTGGGTTAAGAATCACTGGGATATTTAGTGTAAGACCATGTGTGAATATGTTAATCATTGTGTTGGATGGCTCCACATCTCTTTGCAGAGGAGGCTGGAGATCAGGCAGGAGACACATGTAACATGAGATCGAAGGCTCACCGTGAGATGGGAAGTTATTTCTCACTCTTCTCTGAAGGCTGGAAATCAGTCAGGGGACAGTGCAGTGGGAGAGGGGAGTCAAACTTGTGTGGCAGGAAACGGAAGCCCTGTTTCCTACTTATTTTCCTCTTCCTCTTCCCTCAGGGGACAGGTTTAGCAGGAGATGGAAGACCCACAGTCACAGGGAAGGTTGCTCCTCTTCTCACCTGAGATTGGATTTAGCAGAGGTTGGAATTATTACACATATGTGCATATACATATACACCTATGGCTTAGATTTATTCAATCAAGTCACTCCACACCATTTAAAATAAGTGATAAGATGGTACCAATCAGTAACTCTCTAAGCTTTAGACTAAATGTAAGAAGTCTTTGAAAGCCAATGGATAAAATAAAAGTACACTGTAAAGTACATTCTAATTGTCTGATGAATTTCTTTGTGCCTTCTGGATCCAGTATGAAAGAAGCATCAAGATAGTTGGAATCAGGGAGTCCCAGTGAATGGTAAGCCAAAAGAGAAAGATTTCCAGCAAACCCCTGAGAAGATACACATGGATTTTAGCCTTGGTCTGGGGCTCTCTCCTCCTTTACTCCTTCTCTTTGGCCCAAGGAGAATCTTGAAAGCTAGTCTAGAGGATGTGGGACATCCAATCTTTCCATCTGTGACATCTGTGGCCTAGATGTCAGTGTATGTTGAGAACTAAGGACAGAATGGATGTAGATTCATAGGCCTACGGGAAGCTCAGCAAAGAATCTCTACAATAACTCAAGCGAACTTCTTGAGCATCCCATAAATGGGAAGGAAAAAAAAAACTTCCAGCAACCAACAACTTTCTTTGTCACATGTGCTCTCTAAACTTGAACCCACCTTCCCCTGGATTCTGTATGTGCTTGTGGAAAGAATATGTCACAGATTTTTGGAGGGGAGATGTTATATAACAATTGTTCTATCTTAGTAAATACCTCTGTCAAAAAAGCTACTTAAACTTACATGAATTGATGCAAAGTGAAGGCAGAAGAACATGGAGAACATCTTACACAGTAACAGCAATGTGGTCATAACAACAAGATGGTCAACTGTGAATCACTTAGCTATCCTCAGCAATACAATGACCTAAGACAATTCCAAAGGACTCATGATGAAGAATGCTATTCACCTCCAGAGAAAGAACTGATGGAGTCCGAATGAAGATCAAAGCATACTTTTTAAAACTTTCTTTATTTTTCTTGTTTTTTTTTTGTCTGTTTTCTTTCACAACATAACTAATATGAAAATAAGTTTTGCATGACTGCACATGTATAACCTATATCAAATTGCTTGCTTTAGCAATGAGGAAGAAGGGGAGGGAGAGAATTTGGAACTCAACATTTTAAAAAATAAATGTTAAAAAATTTTACATTTAATTAGAAAAAATAAAACATTTGGGGGAAAAATCTACTTAATTCTGCCTGAGCAAAATTACTCTAGACTGATAATTCTGAGGGGAAGCAAACCGGCTAGATAACATTAGAGAATCATCCCCCAATTCCTGATGGATTACTTCTAGAATCCTGAGAGGGGAGATGGAAATGTAGCTTTGTGCTGGGATTCATCTAGGAGAGTGGGAGTTAAAATTAGGATTCTCAGAATATATATGTATATATACATGTACATGTCACATATACACACATATACATACATGCACACACATAGCAAATAGGCTCTGAGCATGTGTATACACATTGTATATACATCACACATATTTTATACACATACATGTATGTATATATGCATGTGTGTGTGTATGTGTGTGCGCATGTGTATACACAGTGGAGAGTGCTAGGCCTGAAGTCAGGAATACCTGACCCAAACAATAGCTAGTGTGACCTTGTGCAACACTAATACTTTACTAGTGGGACCCTGGGCAAGTAACTTTGCCTCAGTTTCCTCATCTGTAAAATGGTGACAATATTAACAGTTATCTCTACGGGTTGTTGTGAGACTCAAATGAGATAATAATTGTAAAGGGTTTAACACGGTGCCAGCTACATCGTAAGCGCTAAATCAATTTTTAGCTAGTAGTAGTAGTACTAGTATATACATAGCATCTACATGCTCTGAGCATGGTCTACACGTATATGTACACAACGTGTATATCTACGCACATATATATGTCACGTATGTGTGCGTATCTATGACATGCCCCGAGCTCCGTTTCCAACGCTACCCACTGCGCTCCCTCCCAGCCCCCGCCGCCGCCCTCGCGCCAGCCTCCGAGGTGCCGCAGCTGCCGCTGCTGCAGCGGCTGCCATGGTGATGGATGTCGCGAGAACGGCCGCGCGCCGCCTTGCAGTTCTCGCAAGATCTGTGGGGGGTGGGGGGGGAAGGCGGAGGGGCGGAGGGACGTAGGGCCGGGGAGGGAGGGGGGGCCGGAGAAGGCGGGGGCTGTCGCTCAGCTCTAGCTGCCACTGCTGCTGCTTCCGGTGCGAGGTGCAGGCAGGCGGTCGGGCTGTCGGGCGGTGGGGACGGGGGAGCAGCCTCGGCGGAGCCAGCCGGGGGAGCAAGGCCGAGCGGAGGCGGAGGCGGCGGAGCTGGCCCCCGGAGCAGGTGACAGGGCTGGAGCCAGAGTTCCCCTCAGAGAGGTGGCTGGGGGGAGGGGAGGGGGACGGAGAGGAAAGGGAGATCCGGGTGGGGGGGGGACAGCTCCCCCTCCCCCCAAAGCCAGAGGGGCACGAGGCAGGTACCCTCCCCCGGAGAGAGAAGGCGGGGGGGGGGCTTGGAATGGGGGCGTCAGGCTCCGGCCCCCTCGTTTGAAGGACGGGGAGTTGGTGGGGGGGACTTACGGACAGACTGACGGACGAAGGCTCGCTCCCCTCCTGTCATTCCAAGGGGCACAGGGACGGGAGGCTGGGATCCGGCAGTGCTCGATCCCTCCCTTCCTCTCCCCTCCCCCTCAGGTGGGTTGGGAGCAAGGGGTGGGGGGAGATCCAGAGAGGGAGAGCAGCTCCGGGAAGGGGCTACAGGGTCGGCGAGGGAGAGTCTCTACCCTCCCCCCTCGCCTGGGTGACACCCCATCCCCTCGAGGCTGGGGCAGGTGGGGGGTGGGGAAGGGCAGGAGCGCAGCTGCGGCGGGGGCTCGGGGCGGCGAGTAGCTTCTCTTGGGTTCCCTGGGAACACTTGTGGGGGAGAGGGCAGCTGGAGGTGTGTGTTGGGGGAGGAGGAGGAAGAGGAGAAGAAGAAGGGAGGAGGTGCTCGTCCTGCTCGCAGGAGGGAGGTAGGTACTCCCTCCCCCAGGCTAAGCGGGGGCGGCCTTCGCTGGAGCCGAAAGGAGGGAGCATCTTAGAGCTGGCCCCGGGTTTGCATCTTCCAATCCCATTCCTTTCCTTTGGAAGGACCAGGATTCCTGAAACAGAAAATGGTGCCTTTGCTTTATAAGCCAACCGTCTGAGGGAGGGGGAGGGGGAGGAAGTTCCCTTTTAAAATGGGCCATTTGACTAGGAAAGTAAGCAACTCGGGTTGGGAATGAGCCTCACTCCCCAAGTATCCAGGGCGATGTTGCTTCAAGCACCTGCCTTTTCCCTTTTCACTGGATGTGGTAGGGTTCGAGATGAGAAGAAGTGTATGGTTGGATGAAAAGAAACTGTGAGGTAATCCCAGTGAGGGCTAGGTGTAACCGAAAACCTGACCCCAGCTTCTGTTGGATTTGATCCCCCCTGGTCTGTGTGGCATGAAAGTTTTATTGGGAGGTAATCTGTTACTGGGGTCTGATTGCTTGGGGATAGTGCAACAAGACAGGACACTGGCCACCTTGTAAAGTTCCCTCTCATCCTTACCAAGAGGTCTGTGACAAGCGCTTTGTATCCATCTTGCCTTATGTCTATTTCTTGGAGTAGCCTGGTCTTTGAGAATGAAAACAATTGGGACACAAAGGTGGACCATTAAGATCATTCTAAGAGCTAGATGGAATCCCATGGCATCTGGGTCGAGAGGCTCTGCCGGAGAGGGATCACTTAACACGTTTTCCCCACCCCCACTCCTCTGAAGCACACTCTTTGCCTGCTATTGTTTACCTATTCTTGTGTCTATGTGTCTTGTCACCAGGAGATTATAAAACCGGTTTTTGCCCTTTAAGAGTTTACAATTTTATCTCTTTTTCTCTCCCCTACCCCCATCTTACAGTGACCAGCAAAATCCTATCTGCACATAGTAGGAATTCAGTTTATATTAATTGAAAGAATGACCACAGTAAGTGAATAATCAGCTTTGACACCTTCTGTCAAAGATGGCTTGATGCCTGATAGAGGTAAAGAAGAGAAGTGATTTGTCTAATTTATCTAACTCTTCAGAGTTTCTGGGAAGTAGCCAGATAGTGGGACTAGGACCTCAGGTTAAGATCTTTGAACTTTGCCATTAGGCACGATTTATGCATTGTGCTTTGTGTATTTTGTAATAGAACTTTCGGTCTTTCTGGGGTCTCTTCCAGCTCTAAATAAGTGATCTTATGATTTCATGTTTCCCAACCTTACTGTGAGAACAGATATTAGGGATCATTTTTTTGTGATGGGAAAACTGAGATATAGTAAACAGGACCCTAATATTTCTCTTAATTTGCAGTTTTCTCCTTTACATTCAACCACTTTATATTAGTAATAATAGTAAAAATGACAAAACAGGAAATTGTTAAATGTTGGAGAAGATGTGGAAAAGTTGGAACACTAATGCATTGTTGGTAGAGTTGTGAACTGATCCAACCATTCAGGAGAGCAATTTGGAACTATGCTCAAAGGGATATAAAAATGTGCATACCCTTTAACCCAGCAATAGCACTTCTAGGGCTGTATTCCAAAGAGATCATAAAAATGGGAAAAGGACCCACATGTACAAAAATCTTTATAGCAGTAATAATAGCTAATGTTTCTATAACATTTAAGAATTTACAAAACATATTCTTTATACCCACTCCATGAGGAAGCTAATGTAAGTATTATCTCCATTTCACAGATGAGAAAACTAAGGTTCAAAGATGTTAAATAATTTGCTGAGTGTGACACAATTTATATGTGGCAGGGACTCAAACTCAGACCCATTGACTACAAATTCATTGTTGTTTCCTACTTTGCTCTTACAATCTTAAGATGGTATCATTGGATCCTTGAAGAGCCTGAGAGAGCCATTGCCAAAAATCTGGGGGTAATAGTTGATCGGCAGCTGAACATTACTCTAGTGAACAGGTTGCAACCATCATGGTGAAAAGAAAAAAGAATGGAAATTATTTTTAAAGTCTACTTTATGGAGTATGTACCTCAGATATTCTTTTCTTAGTGGAGGGATCATATCACAAGAAGAAATGGTTTCAAGATAGAGATTTAAGTTAGGAGAGGGGTTTTGAGTTGAGAGTGACTTAAGTTAGGAGAAATTCTAAGTAATCAAATGATCAAAAATATAGAATTGCTTTTTCTGATAATTTTTAGAAACAGGAGAGGCAAACTCTGGTTAGAATTGAGGTATATTTGGTTAAAGCTGTCTGGTGATTTAATCTGGGGGGGGGAATCATCATTTTTCCTCCTTATCCCTAATATTTTTATCCACATGAAATCTAATTAAATGAAAATAAATGGTTGCCTTGAAAGGAAAATGTTCAAAAGATGTTCATATGTACCCTGAAGTATATGTGAAAAAATGAGGAAAGGAGTGTTTATTATCAGGGCCTATATATTTAATAAATTTAATGTTTTAGCAGCAGCTTTTTATATTGTCCCACATTGTGGATAGTTATCTTCAATAATGATGATGATGATGATGATAGCTTGCATTTATATAGTGCCTACTATGTGCCAGGCACTGTGCTAAGTGCTTTACAACTTCATTTGATCCTCACAGCAACCCTGAGAGGTAGGTGCTATTATTATCCCCATTTTACAGTTGCAGAAACTGAGACAGACAGGAGTTAAGTGACTTGCGCAAGGTTACACAGCTAGTAAGTGTCTGAGGTCAGATTTGAACCCAGGTCTTCCTCACTGCAGACCTAGCTGGAGTCCATCCAATGCACCATCTAGCTGCCTTCAAGGCAAGAAGACCTGAGTTCAAGTGTTGCCTCTGGCATACTGACATTTGGAACTCTCAGCTTATAGTCTATATCCTAATGATAGTCCATAGGATAGATATGTGGTCTATCCTAAGGCCATAAATTGCAGAGAAGGTGCCAACCTATATTATTAGAGGGTCTTTCCTTACCAGGTAATTCCCTATACCAATAAATTCACAGTTCCAATTCATGTGCTTTCTTGAGGTAGCTGCAGTAGGAAGAGAAGGAGCAAATTGTAGAGCCCATGACAGTTGACTTGGTGCTCTGAAATAATGAAATGGCTCATTCAGAGAAAGTGCTAGTTTTAGAAATGGGGTGTCTTTATAGGTACAGGCTTATGGTGACTTGCTCCAGGGACCTCTTTTTGGCTGTCTTCTAATCAATGTTTTTAACAGTGAGTTGGATGAAAGGATAGATGGTGTGCTTATCAAATTTGGAGATCACAGAAAGCTAAGATGGACATCTAACACAGAATCAGAATTTCAAAAGATCTCAGTAAGCTAAAACAATGGACTAAATCTAATAGATAAAATTTAATAGAGATAAAAATAATGTTCCATGTAGGATTTTTTAAATTAAATGTAACCTTTCTGGTGGAGAAGGTGTGGTTAGATATCAGTCTGTGTTAAAAAGATATGGGGCGGGGGGAGTTTTAGCCTTCAAGCTCAGTATGAATTAGCACCATAGCGTGGCAACCAAGAAAGAAGGATTGATAGCACTGTGCTATAGGATACAAAGACAGAAATGAAAACCCTTTCCCTCAAAGAGCTTATATCCTATGAGGAAGAAACAGCATTGTTTGAAAAAAAAAAAAGGCTGTGCAAAGAGCACTAATGACTGTAAGGAATCAGGAAGGACCTCCTATGTCAGATTGAATCTGAGCTGTGCTTTGAAGGAAGCTAGGGCTTCTAAGAGGCAGAGGTTTGGAGAGAGCAAGATAGGGATGAAGAACAGTGATCTTAGGCTGTTTTAATAGAAGCATATTAATTTAATAGAAGCATAGAGAGATTTCAGCCCCACCATAGTCTTCTGTAACCAGAACACCTCTAGAGATTTGTGTCTAGCTGTGGATGCCACCTTTGAACAAGAAGACTGACAAACTAGACCAGGGCCTTGAGTCCACATGTGGTTCTCTAGGTCCTCAAGTGCAGCCCTTTGACTGAATCCAAACTTCACAGAACAGATAAATTGGGATTCAGTCAAAGGGCCACACCTGAGGACCCAGAGGGCCAGCCACATGTGGACTCGAGGTCCCCACCCCGATACTAAACACTGATACAGTTGCCAAGATAGTGAGAAGACTAGAAACCATATACAAGGGCCAGTTGAAGCCAGTCGGGGTATTTAGCTTGGAGAGCATATTAGCTAGGGAACATATTAGCTGTCTTCAGTTATTTGAAGGATTTTCATGTGGAAGAGGGAGATTATACTTAGGGCCCCAAGGATAGAATTAGGTACAGTAAGTAGAAGTTGCAGACAGGCAGATTTCAGCATCATTTAATGTGAAACTTCCCAACAATTAGAGCTCTTTAAAAAGTAGAATGAACTTCTTTTGAAGGTAATTCCCCACCAGTGGAGGTCCTGGATCACAGAATTTAAAACTGGAAGAGAACTTAAACATCATCTAACCTAACATTTTTTTAAAATAAGGAAACTGAAACACAAAGAGATTAGGTGACTTGTCACATACGTACTAAGAGTAGAGCCAGGCTTCTAACCTAGTTCTTCTGATTTTAGATCCATTGCTCTTTCTACTATCCCCAGACCTCCTTTCCACTACAGAGAGGATTCCTGTTGAGGCTTAGGTTAGACTAGATGACCTCCGAAATGCTATGAAGAGCTAATGTAATCCCGAGCCTAACACAAAAGAACTATCAAATGTCTTTCCCATAATATTTGTTATCATTGAGTTTCTTATCCCATTTTTTTTGTTTTAGGTTTCAATAAGTACAGATGTG